TAAAGATTCTTAGATTGGATCACAAGGCCAAAGGAAACTATAAACAATGAATGAAAAGATATATCAATAACAAAGTAACTGCTTCATGTGTTCTTCCTCTCAACTGCACTCAACGCGCATCTCATGCTTGCATTCCTGACGTCTTCCCTGAATAATTCAGCTCAAAAGCCGGAAAGCAGAACCCAGCAAGGTAGGTGTCTGCAGGGGCGGTAAGGACAGGGGTGTGTGGATTGCTGGGAAGCTAGAGCAGGGATGTTGGAAGTGTAGAGAGATGAGGAGGGTGTCTGCCCAGGGAAAGGGGACAAGGGGAAAGGCGGTGGCCTCTCCTGGGGCATCAGAGCCCAAGCAGGCGGGGAGGTGGAGAGTCTATGTGAGCAGGGTGAGCAGGCCTGAATTCTGTGACGCCAGACTGAAACCGGGCATAACAATGAGAACTCGTGGTTTTCAGTGTATGTAAACTGATGTGGAAATACATCTATATGTAAATGTGCATGTGTTATTTATTTGTACAAATGCACATACATACACCCATACGCGTATATATACATACATTCATATAGTCCCTGGTTTTGACAATGGAAGGGCATGGAAGCAGCAACATCTCAAGGACAATGAGCACCTAGCGTCCATATCTTTGTTTCTAAATACCACTGAGAGCAGAGTTCCTTGAAGAAATGGCCGCTACCCTGCAGGGCCAGTGCAGAGAAAATATGTGATGAGTCTGGAATGCCTTGCTGTGCCAGAAAGGAAAAAAAGTGCTCAAAGAATGATGGAGACATGACAAGAGAACACACAAGCAAACCAGAAGGCTAGCTTACTCCCACCACGGCCAACTTATCTCAGGCTAACCATGTTCAAGGGAGAAGGAAAGTATTATAAAAGATATGTAATAATGATAAACAGTGGTAGTAACAAAATTATAATTCGTGGGCTCAATAGGAAGTCACGAGCCCATACTGATATAAATAAATGGGGAAGTGAGAAAGATTTCCCTTACAGCAGAATGGCAGCTAAGGAATGTAGAGGTAATGATTGAACTAGAAAATCGCTATTTGGCAGCCATCGCGGGAATAAAGAATTCAGCCAGGAAGCATCGATGAGTGCTAAAACTAATTGGTAAAAGTTTGATGAGGAACAGGATATTTACATAGCCTCAAATTCCCTTCCAACACAATATATGTTCATCACAAAGAGGAAAAAGAGTAACTTCACACTGGGGAGAACTGGCAGACATCATGTTAATCAGTGACTGATCGATCGAAGTTAGCATCACAAAAATGGGACAAATCAAAATTATGAGCCACCTGATAGAATAGAATATAAAGAATACAGTATGGTTTCCTGATATTCTTGCCAAAAATGCAGAACCTGAATCTAATAATGAGGAAACATCAGATGAACCCAACCTGGGGGACCTTCTGCGCAACCGGCCTCTAATCTCCAGAAGTGGAAAAGCCATGAACATCAAGGAAAGACCGAGGAACTGTGTCAATCTTGGATTGGGTCCTTTTGTCATAAAGGACGTTATTGAGACAACTGGCAATGTTTAAACGGGGCCTGTGAATCAGATGGTAATAAGGGCTGAATGGTGTGTCGGATATTGTGTGTGTGGTTTAAGGGGTGGTTGGTAAGGGGTTTCAGAGGAGAGGAGGAAAGCATGCCCAGAGCCCCAGGGCTGGGCGGGTGCTCAGGAAATATCCCGGTAGCTGCAGCTTTCAGGGTAGCTGCTCCATCGGCTCTCACAGAACCCCAGCCCAGCACACCAGGCCTGCCAGGGGGCACAGAGCGGCCAGTGCACGTGGGCAACATTCTCGAGGCCCCATCTCCCAGATGGAGAGCGTTTGCCACAGACTGCCCAGGCAGAGCCGAGTTTGAGCCAGGCCTTCCCGCAGAGAACCTGGGCATGGCTGGGGTGGACCCAGAAGAAGGGAGCAACGGACTCACTCAGGAAGAACTGCGGGACCTTGACTGAGAAGCAAGGCAGAAGCTGCTTCCCCACCCCCCCCCCAACCCATGTTTCCCCTGGCAGTGGAAGCTTTCTGCACTTACCTGCCCCTTGCTGACTCCCTCCTGAACCCCTTCCTGGTCCCCCTCCCTCTGGTTCTGTTACCCTCAGAGCAGCCCGGTCAAGGGCCTTATTTTCCTCTCTGTTCTAGCAACTGAGCCCTCCTGCCCCGGGGGCTGAGAGGCAATCTGGGAAGTGATTCAAGGCAGCAACATCGATTTCCCAGGATAGTCAATGGATCTGTGACTCTGTGAGCTGACTGTGGAGTCCACACTACTGAAGCTTTGTGGGGGTGGTGAGCCGTGGTGGGAAGAGCATGGAAATCAGAGCGAAACTGGATTCACATCCCCGTCGTGCCGGGTGACATCTATATCACCTTACTAAATTTACTTACCTCTCTGAGCCTCAGTTTCCCAGTGTGCCATCAATACTACCCCACGGATCAGTGTGAGAATTAAAATCATCGTGTGTCTGGCTCTAGATCAACCCTCGCAGAATGTTAGTCTCCTTCTCTTTCTCTCCAACCTCCCACATTCCAGCCAGCAACCACCATAGTAATCACACACACACACACACACACACACACACACACTCAAAACAATAGCCTTTCTGCCTCACAAAAACCCTTACCAGAAAAAAAAAGAGTTTGAGCTTTTGTTTAAAAGCCATTCTGTGGGGCGCCTGGGTGGCTCAGTTGGTTAAGCGTCTGACTTCGGCTCAGGTCATGATCTCACAGTTTGTGTGTTCAAGCCCCGCTTCGGGCTCTGTGCTGACAGCTCGCTCAGAGCCTGGAGCCTGCTTCAGATTCTGTGTCTGCCTCTCGTCTCTGACCCTCCCCTGCTCACTCTGTCTCTCTCTCTCTCTCTCTCTCTCTCTCTATCTCAGAAATAAATAAAACATTAAAAAAAATTAAAAGCCATTCTGTGGCTGAAGGGCGTGTGTTCCTCAACACCTCTGCATTAGAATTTCCCTGGACACTGGCTTTATCTCTTTTTTTTTTTTTAATTTTAATGTTTATTTGTTTTTGAGAGAAAGCACATGAGCACCAGTAGGGGAGGGGCAGAGAGAGAGGCAGACAGAGCAACCTAAGCAGGATCTGCACTGACAGCAGAAAGCCTGATGCGGGGCTCAAACTCACAGAACTATGAGATCACGACCTGAGCTGAAATCAAACGCCTAAGCGACTAAGCCACCCAGGAGCACCTCCCCTCATACACACACACACACTGGTTTTAAAATGCAGATTCCCACACTGCATCCCAGACCTGCTATCTGGAGAAGGAAGCTAGTTGGTGAGTTTTCCTTCTCGCTGTCTCACATTCACAATTCACCAAGAGGGATCTCACTGACCTGGTTTGAAACCATCCAGTGTGGAGGGTTGGAAATGGACAGGTGCTTGGGCATCTCCAGAGGCTCTGTGCTGACAGCTCGGAGCCTGGAGCCTGCTTCAGATTCTGGGTCTCCCTCTCTGCCCCTCCCCTGCTTGTGCTTGCTCTCTGTCTCACTCTCTCAAAAATAAAGAAATCATTAAAATTTTTTAATAAAATAAATCCAACTAAATTTAAAAAAAGAAATGGACAGGTCTCCTCAGAAGCCACCGGTCTTCCTTCTGCCCAGCCCGTTGGTGATTCCCTCTAGATAAGACCCCAACTTCCTCCTTGGGGCGCCTGGGTGGCTTAGTCGGTTAAGAGTCCGACTTTTGCTTAGGTCATGATCTCTCGGTTCGTGGGTTCGAGCCCTGCGTCGGGCTCTGTGCTGACTGCCAGCTCAGAGCCTGGAGCCTGTTTCAGTCTGTGACTCCCTCTCTCTCTGACCCTCCCCTGCTCACACTGTCTCTCTCTCTCTCTCTCCTAGAAATAAAAAAAAAAAAAAAAAAAAAAAGACCCCAACTTCCTCACCAACCAGGAGTGGCCAGAGTAACAGGGTCATCTGACCAAAGTCTGGAACTTGTGTGCAGAGAACCACTGTGAGCTCTTTTCTCGGAAGACGCTACAGGCACGGCTGGCAGACAGCTCTCCCATCCATCTTTCCCCTGCACCAGAATCCGTAATTGAGAACGCAGGATGAGGCTGGGCTCTTGGAGGGGCCGATGGTGGAGGCTGGAGGCTGGTGTGGGGCCCGGGGGTAGGATTGCCGTGCTTACCAAATAAAATAGAGAACATCCACTTAAATATGAATTTCAGATCAATAATAAGCGAAATTTTACTATCAGCGTGTGCCATGCAATATTTTTGATGCTAAAAAAAATTCTTCCCTGCTTATCTGAAAATCATATGGAAGTGAATGACTTGCATTTTATCTGGCAATCCCGCCTGGGAGAGCAGGGGCCAGGTCTGTTTGGCTCTGTGTTGAAGCACCAGTACCCGTTTCATGCCTGGTATATGGTAGCCACTCCATATATCCTTCTGAAATACTTAATTGTTGGAAAAGGCCTCTCAGAGGTCCCTCTCTCCCCACTAAAAGTAAACGCATCCTCCAGAGGCCAGCTTTGAACTTGTAAATTGACTCCTTCAAATTACTGGACTAGAGCACTTAGCTAGTGTTAAGATCTGTGCTAAATAAATTGAAATGCGGAGATAAATAAATAAACTATGGCTCTTGTCCTCAAAATGGTGATTAACCAGTAGGAGCAAGAGGTCTGAACTGAGAATTACTATGGAATATGATAGATGCTAGACAATAAAACCATAAGGCCAGGGCCAGGTGATTTTGTTCATCATTTTATCTCCACCAACACTTGCGACCCGGCAGGCACTCGGTAAATAGTGGTGGGGTGGAAACGGGAAAAGAGGGAGGCACGAACTGCTCAGTGCAGGTCCGCAGAGGTGAGGTGATTGATTAACTGAGGGAGGCGCGACGGTGATAAGATCGTTCACTCCAGGGAGGGAGTGACACCTGATGTGGATTGTGATGTCGGAACACAGCAGGCAGATGGAGAGGAAAGAGTATTTCTGAGGGAGGAACAGCATAAACTCATACAACACTTTATCGAGCAGGAAGTAATGCCTGGGGGCCGGTGATGAGGTCGGAAACAGGGAAAGCCCTGAACACATGGTCAAGGGGACTGGGCTTTATCCAAGGGGTAATGGATGCTCCTTAAAGACTTTTGAGTAGAGCCATGGCCTGCATGTGAGACATTAGCCTTAGCGTGGAGGATGGACAGCAGTGAAGACACACTGGAGGCCAAAGGCCGGTGAGAAACCACTGAAATAGCCTAGTCTGCAAACAATGGAGGCCTAAACTTGTAGATTACTGGAGGTATTGGGAAATAAGCCTGCAGGGCTGAAACCACTCCGTAAGGACTAGCTGTGAATGCCCCCATCTGTCCCTACTGTGTTCCTAAGTGCCCCCCCACCCCACCCCGCGATGGGAGGGGAGGCTGTGGCAGAAAGGGGGCATTGGGGAGGAAGGGGAGGTGGGAAGCAGCCCAAGACAAACTTCCTTCACTTCGCAGGCTTGCCTAAGGATTCAGCAGGGCTAGAGCCACCAGAGGTTGACTGCTAGCCCCCAGGCTCTTCCCTCCTGCTGCTGCCTGGGGGGAGAAGGCAGAGTCCAGAGCTCTCTGCGGTCTGCAGGTGGGACCTTACCCTCAGGGGGACCCCATGCCCAGCAAGCCACGCTCCCTGCTGAAGACAGGAGCTCAGTCTCAGGGTACAGCCACCCCCTTCCTTCCAGAAGATGATCCCAAAACATGTCCAGAGGGATTATCAAAAATTCCAACCTAGTATTTACCCAAAGAATACAAAAATACAAATTCAAAGGGATACATGCACCCCGATGTTTATAGCAGCATTATCTACAATGCCAAATTGTGGAAACAGCCCCAAATAGATAGATAGTGTGTATATATATATATATGTATATATATATACACTATAAAGTATCTATATATGTATATAGATACTATATATTATAGGTACTATAGTATAATACTATATATTATAGATACTATATATATAAAATATATAAATATAATATTATATACAATATACATAGTATATATATAACATATTCACACAATATATAGAGTATATATCTAGCATATATACTATATATACCATAGTATAGTATATGTACTATATATACTATATATGCTGTATACTATATATAATATGTATATACTATATATGTATATATAGTATAGTAATATATATGCTATATATACATATATAGTATTTATATATTATATGCACTATTATATATTATATAGTATAATACATGCTATTGTTTATATATTATACATAATATTGTATTTATATATCTTACATATACTATGTATATTATATATAATATTGTATTTATATATTTTACATATAAATCTACCATACTATACATACGCTATATATACACAATGGATATATATACATTTATATATAAAATATATAAATACAATATTATATATAATATTCCATTGTATATTTACTCAGCCATAAAAAATTCTTGCCATTTGCAACAACATGGATGGAGCTAGAGTGTATTATGCTAAGCAAAATAAGTCAGAGAAAAGACATACCATATAATTTCACTCATATGTGGAATTTAAGAAACAAAACAAGCAAGCAAAGTGGGGGAAAGGAGAAGGAGGGGGAGAGGCAAACCAAGAAACAGAGTCTTAACAACAGAAAACAAACCGATGGTTACCAGAGGCAGCGGGGCATGAGTGAAATGGGTCATGGGGGTTAAGGAGGGCATGTGTGATGAGCATTGGGTGATGTATGGAAGTGCTCAATCACTACATTCTACATCTAAAACTACTATTACACTGCATGTCAACCAACCGGAACTTAAATAAAAACTCTTAAAAAATTCCAAACCTGAGGGGCACACAGGAGATCTGTTAGTTCAGCCCTAGGCCCAGAACCAGGCCCCAGTCCTGGGTGCGTCCCCCACTCCCTCTCACGCAGCTCTTTGGGCATCTCACTCACTTCTGGAGCCATCAGACCTTACCTGTAGCAGACACAGAGTTTGGAGTTAGACTAACCTGGGTTCAAATCCACCCAGATATGTGCCCTTATGCAAGTCACCTCACCTTTGTGAAATATTGCTTTCCCTGCTTAACGAATGACACATCCTTCACAGCCGTGACTAATTAAGTAAAATATCCCATATGAACAAACTCAGGACAGTACCTGGCATGTAGTCATGATTCCTGTAAATGCTGCACTCCTTCATCCCTGAACTGACAGAGAGTTTTATCTGCCTACCTTCCTATATTCATTCGCCCTCCTAATGTATCCTGGGTGCCTACTATGTACCAGCTCCTTTCTAGGTGCTGGGAAAACAATGGCAGGCAAAACATAGTCCCACCATCGTGGAAGTTCCATGCTCCTGGGGCAGATAGATACTAATTGATCACACAAATAAAAAGAAAATTATACCAATAATGAGTACCGCGAAGGAGAGAAACACACAGCCACTTGGTTAGTCCAAGGACCTCCAGAGATGGAGCCTGGGGCTGACACACCTTTGGCATGGCCCACACCAGGGAAATGCTAGGGACCTTACATTCCTGTTAACTGGTTTCCCAGAAGCTCCAGTTCCCAAAAACAAATGTATTCAGAACAGGGAACTTGGGAGGGGAAACCTGGAATGCCCCCAGATCCAATCCTGAACCAGGTTCCCCAGAGCCCAATCCCACCCCAAAATAAATAAAGCCTCTGCCGGGCTACGTCCTCAGCAACGCTAAGCAGCCTCCCCAGGGAAGACGGATCTTGCTACAGGTTCACCATGAACTTCTTTACCGTCCTGCTGCTGGCCACATTAGCCTCCACCTCTCTCGCCATCCTTAATGGTGAGTCTGGCTTCTGTCACACTCCTCTTTGTTCCCCAGAGGTCACCGAGCTGTCCGCTGGAGAGTCCTCAGCACTAGGAAGACCTCTCCTTAATCCTTGTAATGTGCTGAGTGGAGATGCATAACGGAAAGTGCACCCTCGGGGTGACTGAGGTGTGGAGGCAGGGGACTAGGACTCATGGCCCCAGGAACCCTGCACCCTAGAAATCCTGGGGCCAGGACCAGAAGAGCCTCCTGGACCCAAATCAAGGTGGTCTATGGGTTAACAGAGATTCAGATTCGATTTCAGCCTCTGAGGGTGGTGGACACCCCAGGCAGAGCCCCTGTCCTCCTCTGGGGCTCCCTCTGTAACCTGCAGGGCAAGACATACATGCACATTCATTCAACAGCGATTTAATGAGCATCTACTCTGTGCCAGACACACAGCGCTAGGCACTTGAGATACACTAACAAAATACAGAGACCTCTGTCATCCTTGAGATTTCACTCTAGGAAAAAGAACCCGATCATTAGCATGTTAAACAAATTACAGAGTGTGTTAGAAGCGCTAAGACAGAGAACAGGGTAAGGGAGGTGGAGATGCTGGGGCAGGAGGGGGGTACACACTAGCATCTCACGTGTTAAATATCTTAAGACCTCTCGAAACTCTAACTTCTTATTTTTCAGAGCCACACGATGAGATCCAGTTGGAGGGTCAGCCCATAAATGCCCGTAAGTCTCACGTTGACAGCCTTTAGAGTAAGTTGGTGGGAGTAAAAGATTGTCGGGTAAATGATGAGTTCTCCACATGAGGAAGAAGTGGAAACCATTCCTCCTGACGTTGGACCTTAATCCTTTTCTGCTGCACTAATTGGCCAACATCTGGGGGCCAGGAACAATTTGAACAGCTGGGTAGTCATTGACGATGGGTGTAGGAACTACGTCTCATACCCAAATGCTAGCAGGTAGGGAGTTTCAGCTCATGCTGAGGGGAGGATGCTGGAGGGGTTCATCGGTCCCAGGCTCCCCCAGAGCCTCAAAGTCATGAATATCGCAGGATCCTGCTTTGTAGATTATCCGTAAACACAGTTCAACCTCAGGCTAGCTTCCCCTGATTTACCAGATTAGGCAGACTCCAGCAATACCCAGAATTCAGAAAAAAAAAGAACCAATATTTATTGAACCCTTCCCATGCAACAGACAATGGGTTGGGGGTTTGCATAGTTAATCTCTTTTCATTGGGAAGGTGAATTTACTAGAAATGGAATCCCTATTCAATGGCATTCAAAATCAGGGATGCGCCTTTCAGGTGCTCATAGATTCGGATGCTGGTATGGGATCTCAATTCTGGTCTACACTGACTGGGCAATGACCCAACCCTGACACCCTCTAGCATGTTAAGAGATATGGCATAGAGCTGGCTGGTTGTTTCTTACCACCAGCTCTTTCTCTGCCCCTCACTCCATCTCCTTGGCCCCAGCTGCTCAGCTGATACCCGAAAAGGACCACGTCTCCATTGAAAACCTTTCTGAGGAATCTCTCATCTCCAGAGAAGAGCTGATTTTTGAAGAGGATGATATCATCAAATCTCCCAGGAGACCAAGGCATCAAAGGCCCGAGCTGCGTCACCCCATCCCCCAGGAGGACAGTGTCAGAAAGGCTGTCCCTCAGTCAGAAGAGACTACAGAACTCACTCCCAGTGCTGGTAGGGGAAGAAGCCGGGAGGGAGGGCATTAAACAGAAAAAGGCAGGGGCTGGACACTACCTTGGGAGACAAAGTTGGGGTTGGAAAGAGGAAGCTGAAGGGGAACAAGAATTAAAGGTAAATGAGGAGCGGAGGATCCACTGATCCCCCGTGTCAGCACCGAGGAGCTTGGGAGAGGCATGGAGGGGACTAACCTTACCTTGACATTTCTCTCCCAATATTCCCCAGCAACCACCTCAGAGGGAAAGCTGGCCAAGCTGGGCCATAAAATCGGCAAGAATCTGGACAAAACAGTGAAAGAAACCATAAGCTATCTGAAAAGCCTATTACCTCATGCCTATGAAGTCATAAGGCCCTAATGATAACAAGGCCCAGTCCTGGCCAAAGCTGGCGTCTACAGCACCCAAACCCTGCTCGCCCTGGCCACCATCTCTCAGCTCCCCACATCCCTTATTAAAGTGTTGCATCCCGGTCTGGCTCTGTGGTGCCTTTGTTGGGCCAGGAGGGAAGGCAGAGGCCCCCACTCTGCTTTGATTCTTCCCGAGTTACCCTGCCGCTCTCATGTTAAACCTCCCCTCCTCAGCTTACAAACCTGTTCAAGTCTCCACATCCCAAGATACCCTCTGTGAGGTCTTGACTCCCCTCAAGCTGCCCCTCCTCCTCCTCATGCCCACTGCCTCCGTGCTCCCTCACCCTCCTGCACTCCTCACCCCCCCCCCAACAATCTGCGTTTTCACACCTGCCAGCCTGCGGCAACTGCTCCCCCCAACATCACTGACAGAAACAAATCTGGTGGCTATTTCCGGTCACCGCTACTCTCTTCACTGTCTCAGCAGAACCGGACACACCCCTCCCAGAAACTTCCCCCACACTGACCTTCCAATGAGCTGCACCCTACTGGTTTTCCAAGCCCCCCATTTCCTTCCTGGCATATTTTCTGACTATGCGCTCTGTGCTCCCAGCGTCCCATCCTGTGCTCTCTCGCCTTCTCTCCACCTTTCTTCCTCTACATTCCCATCTGCCAAGACTTCACCTTCACCTCAGGGAGGATGGAGTTTACCCATTTACCCACCCACCACACATCCACCAGTGCCTACTATATGCCAGACCCATCTACCTAATATGTGCCTAACTCTCCCCACCCCAACCCTGGCCAGTTTTCACCATAAAGGCATGGGGACCCAGTGGGGAAAGAAGACACTGGGAAAACAAAAATCTCTCCCGGTCTTACAAATGGAAGGAAGATTGCCCATTTGAAGGGAGATAGGATGGCAGGAAGGAAACTATGAGAAAACAGAAAATATATATATCAGCCTCTGCTCCCGCGTACCTGGCACAAAGCTTCAAAACCTGTGTAATTTCCTAAGTGATAAGCACACTAGAGGCATCCCTGTTCTAAAATTTGGCCTTTGACACATTCCTGAGACAGGGATCCTAAGACTCTTGAAAGTTCCTAAGTCATAAGAGCATCAGGAGCGTCTTTTGTTCTTTTTTTTTTTTTAATATTTATTTATTTTTGAGAGAGAGAGAACGCAGATGGGGGAAAGGCAGAGAGAGAGGGAGACACAGAATCCAGAGCAGGCTCCCAGCTCTGAGCTGTCAGCACAGAGCCTGACAAGGGGACTTGAACCCACAAACCATGAGATCATGACCTGAGCTGAAGTCGGATGCTTAACCCAGCTGAGCCACCCAGGCACACCAAGCATCTTTTGTTCTAATGAGGTGACTCCGGTGGGCTTTTGGAGGCTCCTGGATGGAGGCTGGCCGCCAGAAGGACCAAGCCATGATGAGAAGCTTGGAATTTTCAGCCCATCCCCCGCTTCACTGGAGAAGGGAAGAGGGGCTGGAAACAGAGTTAATAATTGATCATACCCATGTGATAAGTCTCCATAAAATCCCAATACTGTGAGGTTCTGAGAGCACCCAGGTTGGTGAACATGTCCACACAGCAGGAGGGTGACATCACCCAGTTCCACCGGGAGAGAAGCACCAGTCCTCAGGATCCTCCCAGACTCTGCTCTGGGTATCTCGTTGTCTGGCTGTTCATCTGTATCCTTTATCAGATCTTTTCATAAACTGGTAAACGCAAGCATTTCCCTGAGTTTTGTGAGTCGCTGTAGCAAATTAACTGAACCCAAGGGAAGGGTCTGGGAAGCTCTGATTTATATGATTTATAGCTGATCAGTTAGAAGAACAGGTGACAACCTAGACTTGCGACTGGCATTTGAAGGGGGACCTGAGCCTTTTACCTGCGGGAGCTGATGCAACCTCCAGGTAGTGGCAGAGCTGAGCTGAATTGTAGGACACCCAGCTGGTGTCACAGAGTCGCTTGGTGGCAGAAAACTCACACGCGCTGGTAACCAGAAGTGTCAGAAGTGAAGTGTTCTGCATGTGAATAAGGATGACTGAGTTTTTCCAACTCAGGAGCCACCTCTGATGTCTATTGTCCAACCCCCCAGGACATATAAAAAATGTACTCGGTCAACAGAGTGATCAACTCACAGCAATGCAGGCCAGGTGCTGCCCCAGCCCAGGGAAACCTGGAAGTGTGTTCACAGCTGGGGGCAGATAAAATCATCTCCATCCTTCCTTCCTTCCTTCACTTTTTCCTGGTACAGAAAGTTTCCAGCTGCCCACTTTCCTTAGTTACCCACCCTCCCCTCCAATACAAAGACACACTCACAACCCCACCAAAAATACCACCCAGCCTAGATAGAAAGTTCTATCTTTCTCATAAATTCTTGCCAGGCATAAATTCTTGAGACGAGGCATAAATTCTTGCCAAAATGACAGAGGAAGGTGGTGAGGGATTCCAGAGTTTAGGAAAGAATTGGAGGGGAAGCTCCTTGAGTTAGATTAGGAAAATTGAAGTGTCTTGGAGATTAAAGGCCCCAGACTCATCCTTCCGACCCTCCACTTCAGACCAATACAAAAAATGATGTGAAGGTCATTACGTAATGGTCAAAGTATCCACCTTACCAGTGGCCGGACAGATGCTCTATAAACCCAAATTGCAGGGCTCTCGGTTAAAACTGGATAGGAGACCCCAGGCCAAAGGGGCCTTGCACTCTGACCCCATCCCCCCACTCTCACCCCGCCCCACCCCACCTCACCTCACCCCCGATTCACAGACTGAACAACAGACAGGGCTGCACGAGCTACTCTAGGATTCTCACCCATAAGATCATCTACTCTTCCCCCAAAGGAGGGTAAGCACCACAGGGGAAAACAGCCTGGGAAGTGTTCCCTCCAAATTGCTCCTCTTGTGGGGAGGGAGCTTCTAAGAGGGAAAGCCATCGAGGCAGAGTAGCCTTCTCTTCTCTCAACCCTTTTGGCTCAATGGGTGGGCTTAGGATCTGCTAGCAACCACAGGCGTGGCTGGAAAGAGAGGAGTGGAAAGGGGCGGGGGAGGAGAAGACAAGCCGAGCATCAGAGCAGTCTCCCACGTCACAGATATTTGGCCATTCCTGACCTACAAAGTGGCCATATTATATGGCCCACTTATTTTTATAGCGCCTGCTATGTGAAAGGAGGAAATAAGAAATAGATTTCCCAACAGGAAATGGGGAGGTAAGTTTCTAAGTGCTTTCCACATATTTACTCCCTTAATCCTTGCAAACAAACAAACAAAAATGCTATCCCCATTTTCAGATGAAGGGAATGAAGTAACAAGTTCTCATTGCTATTCTTTGTATATCCTCCGGGAATCAGTGGGGTGGCAGCTTTACTACTGCCCCCCAAGTCCTCTCGATTGGGTCCAAATAGGACCGAAATGAACTCCAAGACAAAAGAAACTCGGTCTCCTCTCTCCAGATGGCTCAGTGCCGTTGCTCAGTACAGCTCACGGGCAGGTTACAAAATAAACACTACCTGGCCCCCCCAAAATATCATGTAACTCCATTTTAGCAACCAAGAAGTACTCGAAATTTGAACCTAAACCCCCTCCTAATTTCAAAAGTGACAAGGAGCAAAATTTAAATATACTTTTCTTTTACGTCAAAATGCAAGACAATCAGAAGTCCAAAATTCTTCCCTTTCCCAGTGCTGTACCGCTCATTCTTAGCCAGAAGGCCCCACTCCAAAGGCATCTAGCTCTGTCCATTTGCCTGGACACCCCCGTTCCTAAAGCGTACCCATCGACCACAAAGTCAGTTCCCTATGTCTCCCTTCCGGCCGCCAGGGCTCTGGCTGGGCCTCCCCACCCGACAGCACCCTGTGACCTCCCAGAATGGGCTGGGGAGGGTGTTCTCCGTGCTGCTCCAGCTGTTCGGTAGAATAAGGTCGGGGTGTGAAGGGAAGGGTAGGTGCACACACTCCGCTTCCCAAAGTGTGGGGCGGGGTTTGGAACCGTTCTGTCCTCTCCCTGGCCTGGGGGGAGCCGCCTCTCAGACGTCTAAGGTGTGACAACAGCACGGACTGTGGTGAGGCCTCAAGCCCTGAGAGGATGAGGAGGGTGGAGAGTCTGAGCCTGGGGAATGCCCCCCCCCCCCCCCCCGCTGGGGAGTCAGGGGCAGGGCTGTTATACCTGGAGGTAGGGGACTGGCTGCATCCCGGGTCTTCCCCCTTAAACGTAAACAGCTCCTCCGGCACCTCCAAAGTTAACTTAATCTATCCCCAAGTAGCTCACTGGTCCCTCTTTCTCAAAGTCGGAGTAACTAGGACCCAGAATAATGCTACGGTACCAGGGTCATACCCAACAAAACTTAGAGGCACCGGCATATTCTCAGGTCCCAGAGCAAGTATGTGCCCAGAACCTAGTGCACAACAATCTTGTGGGGTTATTTGGGGGGTGGGGGGGGAGAAGGTGGGGAGAACCCTTAATGAGGATTCAAGATGCCAAAGGCCAGCCCTCAGCCACGGAAGCCTCCTGCCGCCTATGGAGAGGTGAATTTGGGCATTCAGTTTACCCCTAGACGGTGGGGAGCATGACTACCATCTCTTCTCTTAAAGTAGGGCGTTTCAGACATTTCCGTCATCTTGTGATATTTAAAATTTGGAATAACGCTCCCAGTAGTCCTAATTTAACTCGGAAGTGACTAGATCTATTTCTCTCCTGCATGAATTCCCCTTAGTGTGTATTTCATCTTCTCATTACTTGGGGAGTGGGGGAGGGAGGGGGAGGCCTGACCACAAATTCCCCGGCATGCCCCTCAGGGCATTGGGCAATACCTCCCCCACCCCTCACTCCTAAATAACTGTGTCCCTTTGAAACTAACCTAACAATAGTCGCAGTGCTCGCCACTAATCGGGTCCTTTCCTCGCTCGCTCGCTCGCACTGTGCAAACCCCTGTCTGCTCAGGTTTCTCGCCCGTCCAGGCTCCCTCTAGCGGTCTCACTCGGCTTTGCATCCTTATTAAATCGCCCCATTCATCCTCTCTGATCCAGAAATGAATATTCTTTTTTTTTTCTTTTTTTTGAAATTTTTATTTAAACTCCAGT